TAAGTTAATTGAATACATTGTTTTTCTTTGTTACGTGTGTACACTAGGGTGGTCCTTAAAAAGAGTAATTTTTTATTTTGACTCAAAAGGACCACCCTAGTGTACACACGTAACTAAGAAAAACAATGTATTCAATTAATTTAAACATAATCATGTAATCTTATTTCAGTCTAATAATAGCACAATATTATATGTCACATGCTATACAGGTACACCTGTATAGCATGTAAAAAATATTTTTAAATAATTTTATACATAAGTAACAAAAAATATTTATATATGTATCTACTGATTAATAGTTTATGCATTACCTAATTGAATAAGTATAATTACTGAATACGGTATATAGTGTACTCTACTATCAGTTTAAAAATACTACATGTATATGTATACATATACATACATTTTTCATGAGAGCAATAATCAATTTTTTAAAGGATCAATTCGCTGAGATTGAATAAAACGGTTGAAAAGTTTACACTTTGTAGTTTATTTATAAAATGTAAATATATTATGTTAAAATATTTATACTCACCATCTACATCGATAATTAATGCATCGTAAAATGAATCATCCTCCCAACGAACCTTGTATTTTTTTGATCGATTTACGCAGTCTGCTTTAAAATGTTTTATGTCCGACGTTTCCACAATCATTTTGTGGCCATCTTCAAATTTTACGTAGGCAAACATTGTGACGTCTGATTACGCTGTCCTGGAATAATTATCATGTTACTAAAACTACAAACTTGACAAATTATCATGTGGCACATGTCATGTGCATATGTAGTAGCCCAGAGGCCCTATATTTTCGAATAGTTTTCATGCGAACTCCTATGCGAAATTCAATGCTTTTCAAATAGGAAGTCGCATATAAAAATTATTAGGGCCGCGGTTCGATTCACGCTCACAGTGCTCAAATCTATCCCAGTGAGAAATGATTCGTTGATCGACATCAATTCGACGGTGTCGAAGTCGATTCGACGTCGTTTCGACGTCGATCGACGAATCATTTCTCACTGCCCAGTCAGAAATGTTTCGTCGATCGACGTTGAAACGACGTCGTATCGACATCGGAACCGTCATATTGACGTCGATTCGACATCATTTTGACATCGATCAACGAATCATTTCCCACTGAGATATATTATAGAATGCGAACTATAGATTTTAGCGCGCTGATAGTGCTGTGAGCGTGAATCGGACCACGATCTAGGGCAGGCTCGAGAATACGGCCCCTGATAGCTGAACATAAAATCTACGCCGATGTAATGCTTGAATCCCCGGCCATTGTCGGGATTCGGCATGAAAAAACACGTCTTACTATTTGGAAGATTACAGAAAAAGGTTAATTTACTTACCACCAAAATATCCTGTTTATTCTCGCAAATAAACCCGTCTTCACTTCCTTATTCCTTTTCGCTTCGCGAAAGATATTCCACTTGGCGCTCGAAACACTTATTGGAACGGCACGGCGAAACGACCGGATTGCCTCTTCGTGAAACAATGAACGCTCTGGTAACGTCGCGTCACAATATTATCGTCGACCGTTAGGCCAAAATACTCGACTCGACACTCTCGACAATCCCGATCACGATCTACTATACGCTCACGATTCTAATATCATAGAACATAGAAAAATAATAATTAGGTTAAGGTTATAAAATTATTACGTATCAAACAGTGTTCACCGTACACTTTTGGAAAATTGAGATCTGTATATTACCTGATGGAATAATTCGTTGATTATTCCCGCTAGATACACGATATCTTTAACCGTAACAATATTATCGTCGATCGTTAGGTCAAGACACTCGACTCGGACGCTCTCGACACTCTCGACAGTCCCGATGGTCCCGATGATCCCGATCACGCTGCCGTGTCGTGATTCTGTGCCGCGACGCATTTGTTTTTTTAGCGGGTACGTTCTATAGAACGGTATAGATCTTAACTTTCCAAAACTGTACGGTGAACACTGTTTGATACGTAATCCCAGTCAGAAATGTCTCGTCGATTCGACGTCATTTCGACATCGATCAACGAATCATTTCCCACTGGGATATATTATAGAATGCGAACTATAGATTTTAGCGCGCTGATGGTGCTGTGAGCGTGAATCGGACCACGATCTAGGGCAGGCTCGAGAATACGGCCCCTGACAGCTGAACATAGAATCTACGCCGATGTAATGCTTGAATCCCCGGCCATTGTCGGGATTCGGCATGAAAAAACACGTCTTGCTATTTGGAAGATTACAGAAAAAGGTTAATTTACTTACCACCAAAATATCCTGTTTATTCTCGCAAATAAACCCGACTTCACTTCCTTATTCCTTTTCGCTTCGCGAAAGATATTCCACTTGGCGCTCGAAACACTTATTGGAACGGCACGGCGAAACGACCGGATTGCCTCTTCGTGAAACAATGAACGCTCTGAGATGAGAAAAAGATACTTGTCTTACTCTAACTTATTGCACCAGTTCTCCAGTGTAGCATGAGAAAACAAGCGTATAGGGCCGCTCCACAGCCCAACTAACCAATCACGTACCACGCTACATGTATTCCTCCGCCATGCGGCCAATCACAGATGAAGTTGCCGCGGCACGCGCAACCGCAGACATGCTTGGGATCGGCCGAGATATTTTATTGGTTTTACAATAAGGATGAAATGAATGTGTAATGTTAGTGCATATCCGTAAAGGCCTTTGCACGTAAAAAAGCGTTAACCGTAACCGTAAATTTAGTCCGTAACCGTAGTTTTCAACACGTACAGACAGATGGAGCAACCCAAGTAAAATTCCGAAGGTTACGGATTAAAATTACGTAGGGTCCGTAGGTTATGGACTAAAATTACGGTTAATGCTTTTTTACGTACAAAGGCCTTAACTTTTGTTTCGCGGCGCTCGGTTTGTTGCCGATCCCAAGCATGTCTGCGGTTGCGCGTGCCGCGGCAACTTCATCTGTGATTGGCCGCATGGCGGAGGAATACATGTAGCGTGGTACGTGATTGGTTAGTTGGGCTGTGGAGCGGCCCTATACGCTTGTTTTCTCATGCTACACTGGTGAACTGGTGCAATAAGTTAGAGTAAGACAAGTATCTTTTTCTCATCTCAGAGCGTTCATTGTTTCACGAAGAGGCAATCCGGTCGTTTCGCCGTGCCGTTCCAATAAGTGTTTCGAGCGCCAAGTGGAATATCTTTCGCGAAGCGAAAAGGAATAAGGAAGTGAAGACGGGTTTATTTGCGAGAATAAACAGGATATTTTGGTGGTAAGTAAATTAATCTTTTTCTGTAATCTTCCAAATAGCAAGACGTGTTTTTTCATGCCGAATCCCGACAATGGCCGGGGATTCAAGCATTACATCGGCGTAGATTCTATGTTCAGCTGTCAGGGGCCGTATTCTCGAGCCTGCCCTAGATCGTGGTCCGATTCACGCTCACAGTACTATCAGCGCGCTAAAATCTATAGTTCGCATTCTATAATATATCCCAGTGGGAAATGATTCGTTGATCGATGTCGAAACGACGTCGAATCGACGAGACATTTCTGACTGGGATTACGTATCAAACAGTGTTCACCGTACAGTTTTGGAAAGTTAAGATCTATACCGTTCTATAGAACGTACCCGCTAAAAAAACAAATGCGTCGCGGCACAGAATCACGACACGGCAGCGTGATCGGGATCATCGGGACCATCGGGACTGTCGAGAGTGTCGAGAGCGTCCGAGTCGAGTGTCTTGACCTAACGATCGACGATAATATTGTTACGGTTAAAGATATCGTGTATCTAGCGGGAATAATCAACGAATTATTCCATCAGGTAATATACAGATCTCAATTTTCCAAAAGTGTACGGTGAACACTGTTTGATACGTAATAATTTTATAACCTTAACCTAATTATTATTTTTCTATGTTCTATGATATTAGAATCGTGAGCGTATAGTAGATCGTGATCCGGATTGTCAAGAGTATCGAGTCGAGTGTTTTGGCCTAACGGTCAACGATAATATTGTGACGGTTAAGGATACCGTGTATCTAGCGGGAATAATCAACAAATTATTCCATCAGGTAATATACAGATCTTAACTTTCCAAAACTGTACGGTGAACACTGTTTGATACGTAATCCCAGTCAGAAATGTCTCGTCGATTTCGATATCGATTGACGAGTCATTTCTGACTGGGATAATTTTATAACCTTAACCTAATTATTATTTTTCTATGTTCTATGATATTAGAATCGGGAGCGTATAGTAGATCGTGATCGGGATTGTCGAGAGTGTCGAGTCGAGTGTTTTGGCCTAACGGTCGACGATAATATTGTGACGTTACCGTGTATCTAGCGGGAATAATCAACAAATTATTCCATCAGGTAATATACAGATGATCTTAATTTTCCAAAACTGTACGGTAAACACTGTTCGATACGTAATAATTTTATAACTTAGCTAATTATTATTTCTCTATGATATTAGAATTGTTGTGAAGATATCGGATCATTACGCAATGAATAGTACGTCAAACTCAAATAAAAGAAAGAGCTACAAAGCTTTTTTGTAACCAGGGTTCTCAGCAGCGAAAGTGAACCGTCAAACATATCAACGATGGATGAAACACGTTCAAGAAGGTTAATATATTTTGCATATAAACATTTACTTTGTACATGGACGTAGGAAATATCTGGAGGGATACGGAAGGCGATGCTGGAGTCGTCTGTAATACCGACCAAACGCACTTCGCACTTTTCTAGTTTTTTTTCGCTTTCCTTGTACACAATAAAAAATCCTCCAAAATTAAAGAAAATAAGCAAACAAATGTGAGTAAGTAGTACGTTTGGTCAGTATTACGGACGACTCCAGCATCTAAACCCATTTCATATAGTTACATTTACAATAACAATATAATTTTCAGGAAATACAAGACTGAAACATTCGATGCGAAATGATCAAACAGCTGGTACATTGGCGGATTTAATTCAGAGTGAGTTAAACACAACAGCAATTGATGTTTCGTCCAATGAAAATGAAGATATCAGCAATTTAAATAATATTGTTCACGATGATAACTATTGCAAAGAATCTGATAGAGATGTGAATTATAACGATGAAATCGACAATGATGGTTTTGTTTCCGAAGATGATTTTGATTTGTTTGAAAGACCAGACATGAATTATAACACAAATGATGATACTATCATGTTCGAAGCTGCCGGTTTGTCGATTTTTCAAGTTTTTACAATGATCCAAGCTTTATGTTTACGTTATCATCATTCCGATGAATCTAGACATGCTTTACTAAATTTGATAAAAATTTTGGCTGGTCCAAAATTTAGGCATATTAATATTACTAAGTATACGATGTCAAAGAAGTATAACCCGCCTGCGGATAAAATATTGTATGTATTTTACTGTACACAATGTTACTGTTTACTGTTAAATCCACTCTCTAAAGATCATATTGGTAAAAATGTAAGTGCTACGTGCGGTCAGTGTGAGGAAAGATATCAAATTTCTACGAATTCTTCGAATTATTTGTTATCTATTAATGTTGAATATCAAATTCGCGCCTTGTTAGAAGATAAAAAATGCGAGAAATTATAATGAATAATTTGGAAAACGTAAACACCAGATTACAAGAAACAAATAATATTTCGGATATATACGATAGTCATTTGTATAAGGATATTGCACATAACAAAAAATGTAGAGTTTTAACTTTTAACTTTAATACAGATGGTTTTCCTGTATTCAAAAGTAGTAAAAACAGTATTTGGCCTGTGCTATTAATATTAAATGAGATACCGCCTAAATACAGATTTCAAACTTTAATTTTAGCAGGTTTGTGGATGTCTAAATGTGAACCCAAAGCAAATTTTATGAATCTATATCTAGAAATTTTCATTAAACAGATTGAAAAATTAATGAACAATGGTATCACCATATTGAATAGCAACAATGAAAACATTACATTTTTTTTACGGCCATTATGCGCATCAGTAGACTCAGTCGCTCGCCCTGTAATGCAAAACCGATATCAATTTAATGGCTATTTTAGATGTAGTTCGTGCTATGCAAATGGTGAGCATCTACATGGTTCTATGCGATATCCTTTTACAGAAAACGATTTACAGAGAAACCATGTAAAATATCTAAAAGATGTAGAAGAAGTTAAGCGGTTGCAAAGACCAGTTAATGGTGTTAAAGGTCCTTCAATTTTGTCAGAATTGAAATATTTTGATTGTGTATGGGGATTTCCCGTAGAATATATGCACGGTACATTGTTAGGAGTTGTGCGCCAAATGTGGGATGAGTGGAACTCTCCTAGTTCTCCATTTTATTTATCGCGAAAACAAAGAGACAATATTGATAAAAGATTATTGAATATAAAGCCTCCGAAAGAAATCCATCGTTTACCGCGGTCATTTAAAGAAGGTAAACTTAAAGCGAGTGAATGGCGGTCATGGACTTTATTTTATAGTGTGCCGTGTCTTACAGGCATTTTAGACGATAATGCGTTAGTTTTGTTTGTACTTTTAGTGCGAAGTATTAATGTTCTTCTGTCTCAAAGTATTTCAGAAGAAGATTTAAAACAATGTGAAATTGATTTAATGCGTTTTGTTGGAGAAACTGAAATTTTATATGGTAAAAGCGTTATGACTTTCAATTCACTCATTATTACATACAGTTCAAAGTGTTCGTATGAGTGGTCCACTATGGGCTACCTCCGCATTTCCGTATGAAAATGGTATTTTCCATTTAAAACAAAATGTCCATGGTCCTAATGGATTACTTTTTCAAATTGCTACGAAAACTTTGCAAAGAAGTACATTTCAAAATATAATAATGAATAATAAGACGGAGACATGTGAGCTATATTGTAAAGGGTTATTTAACCCCCGAAAATTAATAATGCAACACAACGTTACTGAATGCGGTGCTGTCCTAATAGGGGAAAGAGTAGGTTTTGAAGATTTGAAAAGTTTTGTTAAAAAAACTATTAGTTCTGAAAATGATCAGGATACCGTTAAAGTATTCGATAGATGTGTCTATAAAAATATGATTTTCCACAGCACCTTGTATGAACGACCCAAAAAAACTAACGATACTGTTATTCAACTGCAATCATCCGCTATAGTTCAAATATCGAGTTTCATTCATTTCAAAAATAAATGTTACCTAATAGTTACGGAATATGAAGTAGAGCCGATTCCTAATATTACTCATATTATGAGTGTACGGAATAGTAGGAACAAACAAATCATGAAGAAGATTGTGCCTTTGGATACTATTAAATGTAAAGTAGTGTATATAGATGTGAAAGATAACATATACGTGTGTATTTTTCCAAATGTTTTTGAAATTCAATAAATTATTCCATTTGTAATATACCTAGTGAGAAATAAAACTTCGATCGACATCGACTCGTTTCATTCCTCACTGGGTATAAGCCGAAAATATCATCTGTAAACATTAAAATTAATAAAGTTTATTTGTATCAACAAATTATAACACATGTACCGATTTTATATTTTATTCTTTACTAGACAACACAAGCGCGCGCCTCGTGCGCGCCTCTCTCTTGCTCTCTCGCACGCACGCACGCACCCTCAACATACAACACACATACGTGCACACACATACAAACACACGAACTCACTCACTCACTAACTCACTCACTCACTCCCCCTCTCTTTCTCCTCCTCTCTTTCTCTCTCCCTGCCCCTCTCTCTAAACACACACGCGTACATACTCTCTCACGCACAATATACAGGGTGTCAGATTCGATATGGACGAGATTATAGTAGATTGGGTTAAACCCCAAAGATTATAGTAAGA